GTTGTCTTAAAAAAATTTTTCCCAAAAACATTGCTTTGAAAATATTGCCCTGTTTTTTTGAAATTTTTTTTGCCAGGGAAAATTTTTAAAAAATTAAACCCTTTGGAAACCAAATTTGATGCCCGTTTTTTTCAAATTCTTCGGGTAACTCTGAAGATGTCTGATAACTTTTGTAACTAACAGTGTGTTTCTTGCGCTAAGTTACGACACATTTTTTACTATTCAATAAGGGTGTAAATCATCATAATTTTAATCTAATGAAGTTAATAAAAATCACAAACGGTATACGCTTTAACTCAGTCATTAAAATGTGGAGGTGCGGGGGGGGGGGGAGTAGAGCCACGCAAAGTTTATGGACACGCTGTCAAACAGTTTACCAGTACTTGTCGCAAGGAACTGTAAAAACTTCTGTACATCCAGAGTAGAGGTACAGTGGAAATGATCGTAGAAAGGATTTCATGAGCAATCACAACGAAAGTGACATGCACCGTCCAGGAATCGGACCCGGGTCGCCCGATTAAACAGTCCAACGCTCTACCTATGGAGCTATTAAGATGTCTCAATAATACATTGACTGTCTACAAACAAATGTACACGCTTACTTTTACATATTCCGTTCATTCATGATATTCTCCTGTTATAAATTATTAACAAATTTCATTTCTATACTTTACCTATAATTCAGCAGCTGCTCTCAAAGCATGTTGTTTCAGGCCATTGGTCAAGCATTACGAACAGCCTCTCTAATTAGTCACAACCGGTTCAACAACATTAAATCCCAATAAAATAAAGCCTGCATCCTGCCACAGTTTTGAGCACCGGGGGTCAGAGATACGTTTTTATCTACAGTAACACACCGTATTACCGGCGGCAGTGATGGCAGATCACTGCAGTGATGGCAGATATCTGAAAATTACCGATCGATACAGGTAGGTTATGAATTTGGTTGGTTTAATTATATTACAAAAATACGGCCCATTTCATTGCTATAAAACTATTGTCCATTGAATGGAGATACTGTAAGGTAATTTTGGACTCTTTTTTTCCTGTTTTAAGACTATTTTGAGCAGGTTAAAAGTGAAAGCCTTAGAAAAATCCGTGAAAATGTCTGTTTTCTGTTCAAAATATCTCAAGTTTTAAGTAAATGGCAGGATTTCCTGTTATCAATATAGACGTTCATCCATCGGGGTCACGCAAGCCAAATATCTACCCCGTGAGTCTTTTCTTGAAAGTTTTACAGACGCTCAATCTTGTCCGGTCGAAGAAAAAATGCTGCCGTTGTAGGCAGATACATATTATAAATGTTGCCGTCGATGGCAGAAATACCATGAAAGTGGCTAACATTCTGACAGAAAATCAAGTTCAATCTTTTATCAATTCCTCTTTTCTTTGCGTCCTTTTAGTCAGAATTGAGACGTTAAACTATCATTTCTAATATTTTGCTCAAGATAGAAAAGTTATTAACCATTACCCCATGAGCATCTTGTGAAAAATGGCTGTTTTCATTGAAAGGTCTCCCGTTACAAGTTCAAGTTGCTATAAAACTATAAAAACTGCTTCAATACTAATCAAACTTGGCACAAATGTTGACTGGACCATTGCCTTTGTAACAACATGTTCAGTCTGAAATTTCCTGTTACCATAGCAACTAGGGACATCTCAAAATTGCCAAAATCACTATTTTGCGTTGATTTTTTTCCATCAAAATTGATTTCAAAGTGCTGCCACTTCTCAATGGATTGAGATAAAGTCAAAGGCTTTTCAGCATTGGTTACACGTTACCTTATGATCGACCTGGGGCCATTTTTAGCCTCCACAAGTCCAAAGTTTTCTTGGCGATGAGGGGGACTCAGCCCCCCTTCAAACCCCCCAAACAGAAGGGGCACATCCCCCTTCTGACAACCCCCTGATGTATCTTTTGGATGGGGGTGGGGGCCGCGCCGAAAAAGTGGTCAATTTTTTAAACAACATTTATCAAAACAAAAACAAGTGTTTGGGGCCTAAATAAGGCATTTTTTCACCATTTGAGAAAGCAAAAACGGAGGGGGGGGGGGGTGAAAAATGCGTAGAAAGGCGTATATATCTGGTAATGGGTTAACAGAATATGATGAAAAAAAAACGAAATTACTCCAAAACGCGTTTTTCCATGTTAAAACATGGCCTCACATATAATTTTGAAGAAAAATTGCAGTTTTGTAGATTTTTTTATTTTTTTCATTAATGCGGTATGTGCATCGAAAAAAAGCTTATTAGCAACATGCAGTTACAATACAAAAAGTTATGATTTAGTACCACAAAATTTCACTATAAATAGAGAAATGAACATGAAAAACTTCATTTTTCTATATTCATGCATGTGTGCTTGATATGTTGTGTCTGTCAGTTACATGCATACAATAGTATATGTATCTTAAGTTTAGCAGCGCACTCCCTTTTTAAGACATAACGCCAATTGCATATTACAGCAAGTAACTTCTGTAAGTGGATATTCATTTGCTAGCATATGACATTATTTTCTCGAGGTAATAATGTTCACCGCTTTATGACAAATAAAGGCTGAAATTTACTTAATCGGCGCAGATTATAAATTATTAAATTGATGTAATAAAGGGGAGACTATTAACCTCGCAACTGGCATCAGTGTATCATAAAACAATGTATGTTAATGTAAAATGGAAAGATAATATTATTGACAGTTCAAATATTTTCCTATATTATCAAGTTCTTGAAAAACACGACAACGTGGATTCATTTCTTTAAATTTTCATGTTTGTAATAGCGTTGTAGTTTGCCTTTGAATTACATTTACTATGCTAAACTATTAACAACAGTTCTAACATCATGTGCTCCCATTTAACTATATATTTTTTCATTCATTTTAGTTGTAACCATGACAACTTATAAAGATGAACGTTTCGATGATTCATATCACAAGATGAAAATAAATCCTGTATTTATAGGACAAAAACTAGAATTTTTTGATTTGTTATATTCTTTTTCTCTTTGTTGACCTTTCAATTCATATGAACAGATCAAGCACACATGCATGAATATAGAAAAATGAAGTTTTTCATGTTCATTTCTCTATTTATAGTGAAATTTTGTCGTACTAAATCATCACTTTTTGTATTGTAACTGCATGTTGCTAAAAAGCTTTTTTCGATGCACACACCGCATTAATAACTTTTCTATCTTGAGAAAATATTAGAAATGATAGTTTAACGTCTCAATTCCGACTAAAAGGACGCAAAGAAAAGAGGAATTGATGAAAGATTGAACTTGATTTTCTGTCAGAATGTTAGCCACTTTCATGGTATTTCTGCCATCGACGGCAGCATTTATAATATGTATCTGCCTACAACGGCAGCATTTTTTCTTCGACCGGACAAGATTGGGCGTCTGTAAAACTTTCAAGAAAAGACTCACGGGGTAGATATTTGGCTTGCGTGACCCCAATGGATGAACGTCTATATTGATAACAGGAAATCCTGCCATTTACTTAAAACTTGAGATATTTTGAACAGAAAACAGACATTTTCACGGATTTTTTCCAAGGCTTTCACTTTTAACCTGCTCAAAATAGTCTTAAAACAGGAAAAAACGAGTCCAAAATTACCTTACAGTATCTCCATTCAATGGACAATAGTTTTATAGCAATGATATGGGCCGTATTTGTGTAATATAATTAAACCAACCAAATTTATAACCTACCTGTACCGATCGGTAATTTTCAGATATCTGCCATCACTGCAGTGATCTGCCATCACTGCCGCCGGTAATACGGTGTGAGTAAGCAAACATTATAAATACATACATGTATATGTATAGAAAATTTTATTATTAAAGAAAAATCTGTTTATGGTTTTTCATTCTTTATTGTTCATTTTTTATTCATAATTCATACACATTGTAATATCGGATTGTCGGCGGTGGTGATGGTAGTTTTCACTCTGGATCACGGCAGTAAGCCACATTGAATTTACCAGAGCATAGTTCAACCACCGTATCGTTCCTGAGCAGGCTATCAAGCAGTTTACCAGTACTAGTTGCCTTCACTTTCGCAAGGAACTTAAACTTCTGTACATGTCAGAGCAGAGGTACAGTGCGAATTACCGTAGAAAGGAGTTCATGATCAATTACAACGAAAGTGACCTGCGCCGTCCGGGAACGAACCCGGGTCGCCCGATTCAGTCTAACGCTCTACATATTGAGCTAACCGGACGACTCAATATCAAATTGTTTAAAAAATCGATTTTCCAAGCGTTCAACGTTTTAAAAGCTATGTCTCTCATCTTTTGAGAACACAATTATATAATGCAAAAATAGGGTTTTATAGTTTGACAATTTATTGGGCAAATATATGTTTCATTGTTGTCTAATCGAGACTAATGTTTTAAAGATTATTTAATTAAGCTTGATCTACTTGGTACTGCACCTACTGCCTTTACTGCATCTTTATCTCTTGAACACTTTTTATAAACATCTGATCTTTTTAAGTATTCACGAGAAGATGTATAACTCTTAATTGAACATCAATATTAAAATAGTAGGAGTTGTTTCCCTTGCGTTGATAAAATAAGTTTTCAATATTAACCTAAAAGTCAAAGAAGTTCTATAATATTGTAAAGGAATCTTTTCCTAAAGTCATAAAAATAGATCTGGCATTAATAACGTTTTACATCATTGGTAAAATTACACCATTGAATTACTTTCTTTCTAAAAGATGATACAATCTTAAAAGAACTCTCTTGTTTCTCTTAATATATTGTATGTATGTGCATAAATGTTTTGTATTGTGAAACAAATCTAAAGATAAAATAAAATAAAAAAATAAAACAAATAAGTAAAAGGATTCTAATGCCGCTATTCAATTATTTTCTCCAGATTAATTTTAAAAAAACCTGATCATGCATTGATTGCTTCAATATTATTATTGAGTTAACTATTTTATACGAAAGTTATTTTTTTCTTTCAACTTGTTTTCAATGTTTTAAAGACAATAAAATAGTATATTTTATTTCAAGTAAAATACATATTATGACAGTTCTAATAGACTATATGTATAAAATTATGAACAAATAAACAGAAGTCAGTGACACCCAACTGTTTTTCAATCAAAATATTTCTGTCATTCTAACAACATGCCAAATTTTAAGAAATTCTATTAAACAGTTTTAATTCTGCCTGTATGTGTAGATGAAAACTCCCGAAAACGTCCATTATATGTATGTAAATGAAAATATTGCATCTGGTGTTCACTCATAGAAATATATTTCAATCTTACATGTACATGCAAAACAAACAATATATATGGTCAGGAATATGGTCAGGAATATTTAAAATGAATTAATAATACACCAAACTTCCTTTTTTTTGAGAAAAAATTGAGATTTCTATGAGAATTGACAGCAGCCATGTATATAAAACTATATAAACGTCACGATTATCCAATGAAAAGTGACACAGTATTATAAATATTGACATAATTATACAGTAATTGCTAATATATTTTAGTAATAAGTTGTCAAAATTAAACAGAGATTTCTGTCACTGCATAAGTAACAGGGTTGTATGGTTGTGATAAAAAAAAAACGAAAAATTATGTCACATTTAACATACTACAAACACATTCACACATGCATTATCAAATATTTGTACAAACATAAATAATACTATAAAATATGTCTTTCATGATTTGATTGTAAATTAAAGATTTACAAATTTTTGATAAAGATGTGCTGCTTTGAAACCATGATAACTAGTAAATATTGTCCGAGTGGTTTCCTTTTGCTAAACAAATGTACCATGATAATGCTCTTTTGTTATACTATGATATCATAATAATTATACACATTCAGCTCTTGTTTCCAGTATGTTTTGTCATGTGCTTCAGAAGAGAGCTTTTTGCAGTATAAGCATTACCACAGCTTCTACAACTATAGTTCCTCACTCGACCAGTATGTACTTTCATGTGGTTAGTTAGAGTACCTCTCGCATAAAATTCTTTACTGCACACCTCACATCTATACCTCTTCTCTCCTGTATGTATTGCCATGTGATACTGGAGACCAGTTTTTTGAGTGAATGATTTATCACATAGTTGGCATTGGAATTTTTTCTCACCACTGTGTACAAGCATGTGCTTCTTCACATCGTTTACCATATGAAACACTTCACCGCAGATACTGCATGGATGCAGTTTCTCGTTGTAGTGGGTTCCTAGGTGTGATTTCAAAGAATCCTTTCGAGAGCATTCATAGTCACAAAGATTACAACTATAACTTTTCTCACCAGTATGTATTTTCAAATGTCTATATACGCTGCTTCTATCGGCAAACGATTTCTCACAGATTTCACAACTATAATTTTTCTCGCCCGTATGGACATCCATGTGCCTTTTCAGATTGCCTTTCTGAGAAAACACTTGATTGCAAATTTGACATGTAAAACTCTTTTCACCAGTGTGTATGGTCATGTGACTTTTCAGCTTGTATTCTGCTGACAGCAATTTCCCGCAGACGGTGCACTGATACATCATCTCATTACAGAAATGATACATGTACATATAACATTAAATTGATCATCCTCTCCTGTATGTATTTTCAAATGCCTGTTAAATCAGTTTCTTTCGGAAAATAAAATATCACCGATTCACAATTTTTCTCTACCTGGTCTGTCTAATAATATAGTTCATTTTTAAGAGAAGCATGCCTTACATGTATTTTGCAGATGCTGCACCAAGAATAATTAATCTGTCCTCAGTGTATTTTTCATCAATATTTTTTATGTTTTTTTCTTTGTTTTTTTTTTTTGTTTTTATGTTTTTAAAATACTGCTTCTACTATTTTATTATTTTTAGATAATATATCATTAATTTCCTCCGTAAGTAGATTTCCTACATTGTATCTGTTTGCGGGCCTCGTATCTTTTTCTAAGCCTTCTCCTTTATTGCAAACTTGTAAATATTTCTGAAATAGAATAAACTATTGTAACAATATTTTTCAGTGTACATTTTGTATTTGCCAAGCACTGTTTTTTTACAGTGTGGTAAAAAGTTAAACTAGACTTTTTGACTTTACATGACTTTATAAAGAAAACAAGCAATTATCATAGTAATAGTAGTTATCATTGCAAGCAATCCATAAGTCCCCTACCAGTTTACCCAAGCAACATTCTGAAGGGCCATTGGCCATTCACTAATGTTTCAATTTTTCTCTATTTTAAGTAAATTTGTTGAAAGTGATCAAAGGAAACTGTTTTTATGAACAGACAGACAGACAGACTGAAGGGCACTCTTAAGTTAATTTTTTAAACATCCCTGTTACCAAAATCCCTGTTACCAAAATATAACATTTTTAAAAGCAAAATTCTTAAAGAGGAGATATCTCTTGAAATAGAAATACAAGATGCTTTACATGATGTGAGTGATAACAACGAAAAATTAGTAATGAAGCTGTTCATAATGAATGTTTATTTTGAATTTGAAGTAAAAGAAAGTTTAAAGAGAATCAATAAGAAAAATTCAAAGTTTAAGGCGGAGATAATTCTGGAAATATGGATGCTAGATTTATGAACCTTGTGATATTATTATGTGGGAGTTTTAGGTAAATCCTATAAGTAATGAAGTAGCTGGAGTAAAATATACCAATTTCACGAAAGTTCAAGGGGGACATAATTCTGGAAATACTCTTGCTAGAACCTTCTCACAAAGGATTTGAGTGATAATAAGAAACATATATATAAAGTTTGAAGAAGATACATTAGGAAATAAAGAAGTTATTAAAAAAAAAAAAAAACTAGAAATGTGTCCATAGGACACGGTTGCACCCACACGCCACTGTTCTGTCAATCTTATGACTCTAGGTCAAATATTTTTTGGACTTCATGTGCCACAAGGTGAAAACTAAAAATCTTTTACTAAGTAAAGGGCAAGAACTTCACAATTACTGAATAAATCCAAAAGCAAACCCAAAGGTGCATAAGTACACCCTGACCAACATTCTGTAAACTTTCAGGCCTACAAGTCAAATACTTTTTGAGCTATGCATAAACAAGTTGAAAATTGCATATTTATCCTACTGTAAGTCAAGGGCAATAACTCTAACAAAACTGAAAAAAATCCACATGCAAAGTTCCGGGTACATAGCTTCACAGTGATGTTGATCATTATTCCTGTTATTAAGTGATGTTGATCATTATTCCTGTAAAGTTGGTTGATTCAAGGAACAAATAACACAACATAATGAAACGGTTTTTACAAAGTCAAGGGCAATAACTTTATAAAATACTGGATAAATCCACAAGTGAAACACAAGTGGCACAACTACATATGCTGAGCATTGCATTCCCATAAGGTTTCATGGCTCTATGTATGCCGATGTACTATGTACAAGTCTAAATAAAACGTATGTTCTGTTCTGTTCTGTAAAACCCTTTTTGAGTTACATGCGACACAAGTTGAAAATTGCAAAATTTTACTAAGTCAAGGGCAATAACTCTAAAAATACTAAATAAATCCTGACGAAAATACCCAGGTGCACAACTACACATGCTGATCAACATTCCTGTAAAGTTACATGACTCTCATGATGTCAAATCCCTTTTGAGTTACATACGACAAGTTGAAAATTGCAAATTTTTACTAAGTCAAGGGCAGTTACTCTAAAAATCTACTCTACCT